ATTAAATCCTATTGATGTTAAGACAGGGGCTTACTGTGCCTTAATGTGAGGCATTCGACTTCTATGATTTATCGCTTTAGATGGAGTAAGAGGAAGATTCTTTCAGTGTTGTTTGCCGGCAGCTTAGTCCTGTTTTCTTGCTTGACTTACTTATCGACCCTGAAAACGGAGGCGATATATTCCTCCGAAGCGACGACAGAGTTCTGTCGACCTACATGGCCTTAAAACCCTCTTTGAATCTGTGTTTAAATACGTCTTTTGAAGGTTTATATAAATTTTACCCCCTCAAGGGGGCGGGACGTAGAGACCAAACTGTTAATCTTCCGTCTTGTACGTACCTTGGTCACATGCTCACATTTCTTTCTTGGCGTGACATTGCAAACAGTTGAACCCTTTCACCGCTACAACTTTCTCTGCTTGTCTATAGCACTAAAACCGGTTTCATCCATGTTGCCTCTATTTCGTGGCTCATTTAAGAGGTTATTTTCCACTGAAATTATTTCTGAGATTCTGAAATCGTTGATAAACATTTTCTTGGGATACCAGCCGTGTCAGTTGGTTAAAAATTGCGCGACGTTTCAGGAACCACATTCCTCCCTATCTTCAGGGTGTGAGTTTGAATACGTGGTTTTGTGTCTCTCAAGATAATGTGGTGTATATGTGTTTTCCTAAGCGTGATATCTTCGCGATAAATGATTTCATACATTTACAATAATTTAGCAGGAATGAAATCTCATTGCAATCCACTGTTTACTGTCACATCTCTGCATCTGTTAACGTTTTCTCTAAGTGCAGGCGCTTTGCGACTGACCATCAGTTAGTCTCTCCCTGTTGTCGAATCCCTCTTGGGGTTCATTACTAGACTTCAGTCTTAGTCTTGATCCTTCTACTACCATGAAGATGGAGACAATACTTTCATGTACAAGACTATACGGTGTCACATGGCAGTCTTCATAGTTACCCTCATGAAGACCTCGAATCTCAAGTTGCTGTCTACGCTTGTTAAATGTTTATGTATTCCTCTTCTGGATTTCTTTAAGGATGCTCTCGCCAGCCCACCGTAGGAAGACCCGGCCGTAGGTGGGAGGGTAATTATTATTATTATTATTATTATTATATTTTAATATTAAGAAAGATCTTAGAGACTGGCTTCATCTGGCTCAACTTAGGGACAAGTGGCAGGCTCTTGTGAACACGGTCGTGAACCTTAGTGTTCCATAAAATGTTGGGAAATTCTTGCCGACTGGCAGTTTCTCAATAAGAGCTCGGTTTCTTGGAGTCAGTTACATATTAATGATAGTTCCATAGCATATATACGTTGTATCCAAGGTGTGTATACGAGTGCAGGTTTTGTGCTACTGTTTTGCCATATCTTACTTTGACTGCCACCAATGCCTGTCCACTGTCTGTCATTTTACTGTGCTCTAAATCAGTGATTCTCAAGCGCCGGGCAGCGACCTTAACCGGACCCTCGTCTTATAGAAAGGGAATTTACCGGACCGCAGACCCATAAAGGTTGAGAACCACTGCTTTAAATCAATGCTGACCACAGTGGTCACACAAGTCCTGTATATCGTGGACATCTTGGGTACGTAAGGATCACGAGTTCGAGTCTCGGTCTGGGAATTGGTTTTATCCCCGTGTATGCAGAGGCCTTGCGTCGGCCCAGTCCACCCTCCATGCAGTTACACACATGGCCTGCTCGAAATGTGATAGTTCTTCGGGTTCTCAAGAAATTTCCTGCCTCTTGCGGAACGAAAATATTTATTGCCGTCCTTACAAGACCCCACGACTGGGCCCTCTCATGAACAAGATGAAGCTATGTAAGATTTGAGGCTTCCACGGCGGTAACTATGAAGAAAGCAGTCTTCTGGGATTTGGAACCGTGTTTATGTGGTGTTAACCGACGTTTCGGAGGAACGTATCGCCTCCATCTTCAGGGTAGAAGAAAAAATATAAGAAATCTGCAAGCGAAGGGACCATGAGAACCGGTAAGATGGAGGCGATACGTTCCTCCGAAACGTCGGTTAACACCACATATACACGGTGCCAAATCACAGAAGACTGCTTTCTTCAAGATGAAGCTAGTCCAGCTTTCGTTGGTTGTTTTTTAAGATCCATTTTAATGTTATGATCCCTTCGTTTATTAGACCGTGAAGTAATATTGAATTTTTCGTATTGTGACCTCGCGAGTGACGTCGCGCTACGCCATCGACGTCACACTATATACGCTGGTGTAATATCCTCGTAGCCGTGTAGAGCAAGATGGTACCTCGTTAACATTAAAACGCTCTGCATTTTGTTCACATCCTGTATGTTTCATGTTATTTTAGAAATAAACAGCGATTATGTTTCAAAACAGTTTTGATGTATTGGTACTGGAGACGCAGTGTGTTTTGTGAGATAGGGACTGAGCTTTAAATATTGTGGCGTATAGATATATTCCCGCGGAAACGTACGCACGCAACAATAGGACGTCCATTGCTAGGCATCGGATCAGCAAACAAGCCTTATGAACAATAAAATGGCTGTGTTTCCTGCGTAGTCCGTGCCTAGGGGTTATAAAGGGACAAAGAAGGTCGTTTGAGTGTGTTGTCGAGAATTGGGTCGAGTTCTGCAGATGGCAGTCCAAGGTGATTGAGAAGAAATGACAAGGCAGGAATTAGGCGGTGAAAAGAAGACTTCATGTGTGATTTGAATTGATAGTGAGATTATTATAAATCCGTTGCCAGGATACTACTAGTGAAGACAGAGGAACGTACTGCATGTGTAACGGTGAACTGTAAAGTGTGTGTAGTTCAGTAATGGCGCTGTATTGTCTGTAGTCCAGAGTACTGTATATAAGGTGCAATAAATCCAATCGTCCAATCCAAAACTCATCTTATAAATCACACTCACCACCCCTACACGTGACACCATTATTCAGAAGAACTTGATGCTTCAGGCCTCGGTCCGTAAATGAACGCGAAGTTTAACTTTTCTTTAAGTACATGCAAAAATTGCTGAACTGTTAGCAACGTATGATTATGATATTGAATTTACGCAAAACGAAAAGATGCAGACGACAGAAAATGCTGAACAGGCGTGAATGAAAAGCGGCCAGCAAATTAATCGCTACCTCAGCTACTTGCCACGTCACACATTCTGGGAATGAACTGTTTAGACAATCATGAATTGTGCTTATGCAGCACCGATGCTCGAATTGATGCATATATAATAATTCTGATTTCCTTCACACATGTAAACCAATACCATCTACGTAAAATGACAGGTAACGTTCAACTTTATGTAGGTATGATATTGAACCGATAAGAATTTTTTGATGCTCTTTACTACGGAGCCGCTGAACTAAATTTAATCGAATTTTTATTTGCGTCGTTTTGAAGATATAGCATGCAGGCAAACAGAATTGACATTTCATGATGTACTTATTGCTAAGAACATATAAAATTATTATTCTAAGTGCAAACGTAATTGTACGAGTAATATTATCTCTTGCGTATTCGAACACAACACTACGAGGGCAAATTGGGGAGATGGTCTGTAGCACTGTTTCTCAACCAGCGGGCCGCGGTTCGGTACCGGGACCTGGCATCAATTATACCGGGCCCTCTCTCACTCACTCATGGAGCTGAGCCCTTCTTAAGAAGCTGCCAATTCTGCAGCTACTCAAGAATTTCCCTACATTTTATGGAATCCGAAGGTTCATTACCGTGTTCACAAGAGCTCTCAACTGGTCCCTATTCTGAGCCAGATCAATCCAATCCATACCATCTCTACGACTCATTTTAATATTGTTCACCCACCTACTCCTTGGTCTTTTCAGTGGTCCTTTTTGGTTTACGTTCATACTTCTGTAATACATATTATCGGTATTAACTGTAACTAGGCATATTGCACTCGTCCTTATCAGAGCAGACGGAAGGTGACAATAAGCTGAGTTGCTGTCGCGTGTGCACGTATGTACGCGTACAGTAAGTGAGCTGCTGTAGTGTCAGCGTTTTGCCCGATTCGAATTACAAATCCATACTTGCTCACCACTGTCTTCGCATCTAATTTGACCTAAATGACCTGTCACCGGAAGTCACGGACTAGTGACCTGCACTCCTGCTTTGTACCCGAGAGGTCTCTGATTCAACCTCCGTCCGGAGACCTGATATCCTAAATAAGTTTTTATAGGTTGGACGACCGAGGAATTGGGGTTTTCTTTCAGGTAGGGTACAAGAGCCGATAACAGTGGCCGCGCGGTCCAAGGTATGGACCATCTTCGTCCGCTCGAACATTTTCATCTTTGGTTCGAATCCCACTCGAGGCATGAATGTGTGCGTTTATTCTGTGATTGTGAGGTTTCGTGTGTAGGTAGCGGCCTTCCGACGCGCTGAGCCCTCGTCATAGGAGTCCTACCGACTGTAAAACGTTCAAGAAACTGAAGAAAAGCGGCCAAGGCCCAACAGAGGGTTTAGAGCCCTACATACATACATACATAGACAGATGGACAAAAGGCGTTTCTCTTCTCCAGTCCTTCTAGACTGACTCTGGGTCCCACTTTTCCGGAGCCCGAAGTGGTCATTCACCTCAATATAGGGCTGAAGTCAATGACTATGTGGAGCTATACCGCCACTCCTTCATACGTCTTTTAGCATGGTGCTTAATGAAGCACGGACAACTTTACGTTCACATTTACATATTGCCAAAGATCTCCATCGAGAAGAGAACGCTCCCGTTATGTATTCAGGACGTATTCGATTCAAACTCTACTGGGAAACCAGCTCTGCTGACTATTATTTGCGATTTTCCTCCGGCCCTCTTGGAAAATACTGATATAGTAGCTGAATATGCCGGGCACGGTAGCCGAGCGTTCTAAGGCATGCACTGTCTTCGCTCGCTCGGAAGCAGCGATCATGGGTTCGAATCCCACACAAGGCATATGTTTGGTGTGTCTATGCGTTTTTTTCTGTGTTTGTGTTGTCCTGTGTTTAGGTAGCGGTCCTACGACGGGATGATCACTCGCCCAAGGAGTCCTAGCATCTGTAAAATAACCATAAAACTGCAAATCAGAGGCCAGGGCCCAAGGGGGCTGTAGAGCCAGCGACCGATTTGTTCCACGCCCTTACCTGTAGTCCTGTAAGATGAACTGTTGAAGACGTCGGTAAACGAAACACAGGTCTAAATAAATAAACAAATCGTTTGGCTTGTGCAGTTAAAATGACATATTTAAATAACCCTAGATTCTTGATAAAGTTACGAAAGATAGAGAAGAAGTAACAGATAATAACGGAAGAGGACGGATAGAAAGAAAGGAAGAGAAAGTCAGCGAAGAAAGTGGTCACGGCGGAGTGGCGGGGCAGTGTTGACGTTTCGACAGACGGCAGCCACGGGAGAGTGAAAGTGAGACGGTACCAAACACAGTCAGTGGCGTCAGTGGTGGCCCAGTGTCCAGTGCAGACGCTCATACAGTGTGATGTGTAGTGGCATTGTGTAGCATATGGATGTCAGTTTCATATACGCAGCTTTCAGTGGGGTTTGGATTATGCTGGCTGAAATTCTGTTGGAGGTGCGTATGCTGTGTAACTCGCCCATATGTGTCTACATCTGGAGAGCGGTCTCAGAACCACATTTTCCTTTGCGGTTCCCGAAGAAATTAAATAACTCTAAACACGCCTTGGATGCTTTTCGTAATGACGTTTTGTCGAAAAGCATTGGTCATGTGTCGTATTCAACAATCGATATTAATATTCTGTAAATGATAGTGTAAGAGGTTTATGCGGCAGTCCTAAGAAAATATGGCAAAATTCGCATATTTGGTTTACACAACAGCATATGCGATTTGAGGTTCTAACTGCGGTGAAGATAAAGCTGTCCCTGTGCCTAACTAATTAAGCACTGCCCCATGGAGGCGTATGGTGGAGTGGATGTATAGATACACATTTTCTTTACCTCGGCACTAGCTGGAGGTAAGTGGTCAGCTTCACGCCCCAGTCGCTTTACCCTCGGAGAAAGAGCCCCCGGTACGAATTAGATGGGAGGTTGGGTGGACCTCAGAGCCGGTCTGAACGACATGAAGAAAAGAAAATTCTTGACCCCTCGGTCGTCCAGCATATAGCCAGTCGCTATACCAACTACGCAATCCCGGCTCCCTCTAACAACGGTGGGTTGTTTTATTGCTAGTGGGGTGGGACTAAGTCCCTTGTACTGCGGCCACTTCTGGCCTATTGTACCAGCACCAGATGATAGGTGAGGGTGATTCTGGAGCAATTGGTGGAATGAACATTGGCAGGGGAAACCGAAGTACTCGGAGAAAACCTGCCCCAGCGCCACTTTGTCCACCACAAATCCCACTTGACCAGACCCGGGCTGGAACCCGGGCCGCCGCGGTGGGAAGCCGGCGACTAACCGCTTGAGCTATGGCGCCGCCAACAGCGGTGGTTACGAGACGTTCTGTCTTGTGTCATGTAATTCCATGTAGTTCGGTGAGAGTTAGGTTGGCTTTCAACGGGCTACACGGAATATATCGTAGAAGATCCTATATGCATTCCTCCTCTTCCCTATTCGTGCTACATGCCCTGCCCATCTCACCCTCCTTGACTTGATCATTCTAATTATACTTGGAGAAGAGTACAATTTATGAAGCTCCTCATTATGCAGTTTTCTCCAATCTCCTGTCACTTCATCCCTCTTCGGTCCAAATATTCTCCTCAACACCCTTTTCTCAAACACCCTCAGTCTATGTTCCTCCCTTAATGTCAGAGACCAAGTTTCACACCCATATAATACCACAGGCAAAATTATAGTTTTGTGTATTCTAAGTTTTATGTTTTGAGACAACAGACGAGAAGACAAAAGGTTCTGGACTGAACTGTAGCAAGCATTACCCGAGTTCAGTCTCCTCTTAATTTCCTGCTGAATCAGGTTTCGATCGGTTATCGATGTTCCCAAATATCTGAACTGTGCCACATTTTCAAAACATCTGTTTCCTCTCATTATGTAATGATTTTTACCTGCATTTTGGTTGAGGCACTAAGCTACAAGCCGGATAGTCGCGGGTTCGATTCCCGATGAGGTCACTGGATTTTTCAATTGACCTAATCCTTTCAGGCGCACTATGGCCCTGGGGTAGACTCAGCCTCTAACAGAAATGAGTACCAGGAATCTTCCTGGGGGGTAAAGGGTGGCCGGGGCACAAGGCTGACAACCTTACTGCTATCTGCGAATCGCTTGTCTAGAGAAAATGTGGAAGCTTCAAAGTCTCACAACCACAACACATAGGTTTTGACTGATTAACTGTTGAGTTATGAAATGGCTGTAGATATCGATACAGACAACCTGTTATCAGTGGTGCCAACCCATGTCTCAGTCAGTGCCAGACTTGGCACCGGTTGCTACTGATTCACCAGACGTACACAGTAGAGGACAGACTGTCACTGATGTCCGTTTCGGATTAGAAAGCATTGTCATTCCTTTTCCTGTAAACAGGGGGAGCCTGCGAATGTCTGCAGTTTGCCTGAGGTGTTACAGGTCAAGCAACCAGAGTTATGACAACATTAGCGATTATAATACTAACCTAACCGTTGGTTAGCAGCGAAATTGAGGTTATGTAGCTGGAGAGTATAGATACTTTTTTCTTGCCATATCATCCCACAAAGAGGCCAAGCGCAAAAAGTCTTTCCTTTTACTGAGACACACTTCTGGCAAACTTTTTTTTTGGAATACATGTCACACCTCAATGCTGCCTACTGTGGAAAGCCGTGGCCAATCACAACTAATTCTGTGATGCCTAAGGCATTCTTGAGAAGCTATTATGCTCAGATGCTGAAGGATTTACGATCCTTTTATGGAACCTGAAGTTTCAGTACTGTGTTCATAATTTTCTCCACTCATCATCATCATCAGTAATCTGTCAGACGACAGGTCCACAGTCTCTTCCAAAACAGTTCCTCCATTTAATGCGATCTAGAGCTTTCTACTTCAAATGACAGTATCCTCTTCTGTCCCCAAGGTCATCCAGCATCTTCTTACGTCTTCTTCCTCGTCTTCTTGTCACTTCTATCCGCCCCTCTATCTTTCCTTCTATAACTTCTTTTAGAAGGCAGTTTCTGCGTAAAACATGACCAATCCAATTAGCCTTCCGTTTTCTTATTTCGTGTAGGATATTCCTCTGCTCACTGACTCTAATTAACACTTCTTCATTTCTCACATAATCGGTCCAACTGATCTTCTC